CCTCCCTCCCTCCCTCCATGGGGGTCTTGCTCTGTCACCCACGCTGGAGTGCAGTGGCGTGATCTTGGCTCAAGCAGCCCTCACACCTTGGCCTCCCAAAGTGCTGGGATTATAGGTGTGAGCCACTGTGCCTGGTCTCAGGGCTTTTTCTTAGGGCCTTCAGATCTCTATCATCCCACCCTTTTCAGCCAGGGCAAGTTGTCCAGAGTCCTGGGATGGCTCTTGTGCCTCTGCATTTTAATGCTTTTGTGTTAGACCTTGTTCTTACTAAGCTTGAACACAACAAGTTTAACTCCAACTTGGGACCTCATGGTTCAGTGCCTGGCACATAGTAGGTGTTAGGCATTCCTGTGTGGTTATCCTTAGGATGCTTGCTGTGGGCAGGGTAGGGTCCTAGGTACTGTGCAGGTCACAAAGCATCCATATTTATGAGCCAGGACAGCCACAGATAACAGATACAATGATAAGGTGGTGGTGTTGACAGTGTTTTTAACCGACCAAGCTGTAGAGCGCCTGTGCCCATAGCTTTGTGTGGCGCCCTCTAGTGTTGTGCATTTTTCAGGTTTTCAGCTTTGAGAGTGCACATCCATTAAGCTGGGAATTCAGATGGACTTTCTGTATTTGAGGGTATGATGGGTGACAGGTGGGGGAATGCTGAGGGCAGCTTCCCATACCCCGGTTAGCCCTTGCTGTATGCCTCAGCCCTTGCCTGCACCACCAGGCCAGGTGAGAATGTGGGGCCTCTGACCTGGGTCTTGCCCACAGGCCAGCCAGCTGAAGACAGAGACCATCACCTATGAGGAGAAGGAGCAGCAGCTGGTCAACGACTGCGTGAAGGAGCTGAGTATGTCCCCGCACCGCTGTCTTCTTACTTCCTTGCATCTGCTGTCATGACTAGACAGATTTGCGTCAGCCTTGCTAAAGTGCAGTCTCCTGCCAGCCTATGGCTCAGCAGCATTTTTCTTAAAACTAGAGGCCTCCCCAACCTCGCGTGGCACCCCCTCTCTATTATTTAGTGCTAAGTTGTCAGCTATGTATTATCTCAGTTTATCACTGAGGTGGAGATTTAAATTTAATTTTGGCTTTATACTGAAATATTGGATTTTTTTTTAATGCCTAAGTTAGGCCCAGCTACAGAAACCTGTGTTGAAAATGTGGAAGAACAGGTTACTACCAGTAATTTGATTTGTGAAAGTTGAAGCCAGGGTTCTCACCTTTGCAAATAAATATTTCTCTCCTCTTCTTCATTTTAAGTTTACAAGTTAAGACAAAAGGTCAAAACACTAAGTATTTTGCATTTTAGCAAAATACTAAGTAACGAAACACACCTCATGTTCAAATCTAGTCAAATGAGTTATGGCTCTGAATATGGGTTGAAAACTCCAAGGGAATTGCGCTGTGCAGTCAGTAGTTCCTTTCTAGAACTGGGTGCAGCAGCAGGTTCCTGTTTAGTGCTCATGTGTGGAATGTGAGGATCTGGCCAGATGCACTCATGTTTTGTTTGTCACTTTCTCTCTGACCCCTGGAGCCTCCCTGATTTGTTCTGGGGAGACAGCCTTGGTTGGTGGGCTTGGGGCCCTACACTGAGCTCAAGAGTGCTATCTAATGGGGTGAGGTTCTTTTTCATAACTGATTGAGCCTTGAAGAAGCTGCTTTGCTTCTCCATGTGGGAAAATGGTCACTATGAGTTCCTTCCTGCACCCTCCCCACTCCATGCTATCTTTTAATAAGGATGGTTTTTCTTGTGCAAACCACAAAGAAACCATTCTCTCTGGGTCTGCATGTGTGGTTGTCTGACTTCCTCTTGTGATTGTTGTTTCTTTGTCAAAGGGGATGCCAATGTCCAGATTGCTAGTATCTCAGAGGAATTGGCCAAGAAGACGGAAGATGCTGCCCGCCAGCAAGAGGAGATCACACACCTGCTATCGCAAATCGTTGATTTGCAGAAAAAGGCAAAAGCTGTAAGGCTTCTCTGTTTATCTGGCTGATATGGCAGTGGCCGTGCTGAGATGGGGAAGGGACATTTACTCCGGAAGACAGTGCCCTTTAGTTTCAAATCTTAGTAGTTTGTGTTACCCCTTTGCAGAAAAAGCTTCGTGGACTCAGTGGTATAAAACTGATTACCCTGAATTGGTGACGAGTCTTATTTGTGACCTGTTGTCTCCTAAAATTATATTGAATTCATTAAAAAGATGTTGTAAATATGGACTTTTGCAGTTTAACTTATGGATCATCTAGTCTGGTATTTGTTTTTACACAGTGCACCAGCTATGTGCTGCAGTAGAGCAGTATCCTCTTCAGATTTAAGAAGAGGCAGCAAAATGGACTTTGCTAGTAGTGTGGGGTAAAATGCTTCCAGAGAGCTTTGGAAGTCGGGGGTGGGGTGGTGGGCTATAGAGAATGAATGGGGATATAGGAAAGACTTTACCTTCAAAATTATATAAAAAACAGAACTTGAGTATAAAATGAGCATATCCTTGTAGAAAGTGATGATGAGTTCATAATGGATTAGGTTAATAAGAGGGAAAAAATTGGACTTATCTAAGTATCTTAGAAAGTGATCTATCTTTGCCATGCTTTAGTGTGCAGTTGAAAATGAAGAACTCGTCCAGCATCTGGGGGCTGCTAAGGATGCCCAGCGGCAGCTCACGGCCGAGGTGAGCACCTCTAGCACCTCTCCCTCATTGCTTCAGTGCCTCTGATTGCAGCGAAGGTGGATTCACCTTCCCGGACAGCTTTAGTCACGTCCGTTGCAACTACCATTTTTATTTTGAATTTCATTTCATTTTTATTCTTGGGATAGTAAACTCAGTTGCACCTTGATTCTGTGCCCACTGACACTGTTATTGGTTATGGGCACCTGTGGAGCAGGGCTCTATACCAGCTGAGCCTGGCACGCGCAGGTGCCCGAAAATTGTTCAAAGAAATGAAACAATACAACACAGAGCACTCTGGGAGAGGAATCTCACAGGTGTGGCTTGAAACATGAGTGTGACGATTTTCTTTTTCTTTCTCTCTTTTCCTTTTTTTGAGATGGGGTCTCATTCTGTCACCCAGGCTGGAGTACAGTGGCATCAGTGTGGCTCACCACAGCCTCAACTTCTCCAGGCTCAGATGATCCTCCTGAGTATCTGGGACTACAGATGTGGCTACCACGCCCACCTAAGTTTTGTGTTTTTTTTCTTGGAAAGATGAGGTTTTGCCATGTTGCCCAGGCTAATCTCAACTTCTGTGCCCAAGCGAACCGCCTGCCTTGCTGTCCCAAAGTGCTGAGATTACAGGTGTAAGCCATCATTCGTAGCCTGATTTTTCTTTTGCGTGAAGTTGGTTTTGTTTCATTTGCCCATTGTTGGTATTTTAGAAGATTTCTGAGTCTGTAAGCTTGCCTCAAGTCAAAGAAGAAGCAAGCCTTTGAAAATTCTGTTATTTGGCCACAGACCCACAGGGCAGCTGGTTCCACATGTGCTGGGAACTCCGTTAGATTGCTGTGTCTTTCTGGCCCTCTGATGGGCAGATGTGTGTACACCTGGGTACTCAGGAGATCCTGACCCTCTGTGTCTTTCCTGCCTGCAGCTGCGTGAGCTGGAGGACAAGTATGCAGAGTGCATGGAGATGCTACATGAGGCGCAGGAGGAGCTGAAGAACCTCCGGAACAAAACCATGCCCAATACCACGTCTCGGCGCTACCACTCGCTGGGCCTGTTTCCCATGGTGAGCTGTGCTTTCTTCCCAGCCAGAGGACACCAGGGGTCCTGGTGATAGGACGGAGCACAGTGTCTGACATTCTGGCCACTGGAGTTAGGTGTTTACAGTTCGGTTCTCATTTTACAGCTCAGAAATCAAGGACACTTGAGTCTGACTGGTGGTTTCTTAACTACGTAGGACAAATTGGTTCTTTATTTTCTGTTCCTCTAAATCTGTTGTCTTTTCTACTGCCATTAAAAGATAAATTTAGTAGGAACTTTCTTTGGTGGGAACCTCAGGTATTTGGAAGATCTGACTCATACAGGTTGAGGATCTCTAATCCAAAATGCTTCACAATCCAAAACTTCCTGAGCATTGACGTGGTGCTCAAAGGAAATGGCCATTGGAGCATTTTGGATTTCAGATTTTCAGATTGGTGTGTTCAGCTGGCATGTATTCTGGAACTGTCCCGAAATCTGAAGCACTACTGGTCCCAGGTATTTTGGATAAGGGATATTCAACCTGTTCCTGATTTTTTTTTTTTTTTTTTTTCCCCTGACCTTGTTGGACTGTGCGGCTATTTTGGCCTCACAAAATTCTGGAAGTACATTTCAGAATTTTTAAAATGCCATTACAGTTCTGCTGATTCTTTGTACGCTTATTAATCATTCTCTTGGTGACTTTCAGTATCTGTGATCTGAAAAAAAGAATTCTCTCTGTACTTAGGCTGGTAATTTTCTTGCTCTCTCTCACTCACTCTCCTTTGTTTTCTTTCAAAAATGGAGCTAAGGTCTCACTCTGTTATCCAGCCTGGTCTTGAACTCCTGGCCTCAAGTAATCCTCTCACCTCAGTCTCCCGAAATGCTAGGGGTACAGGAGTGAGCCACCGCGCCCAGCCACATTATTCATAGTATTTTACTGCAGTCGAATTTTTTAGCCCTGGCCTTATTTGCTTCATGTGCTTTGCGGGAACATGATTGAGAAGGGGATTTTCCAGGAGGTTAATCTCCTTGTGGAAGTTGGGCAACCCAGGGCTGAACCCCTTGGCTGATCATTGCGCTGTGAGGAAGCGTTATCGGGGATTGAGCTTCCTCATGTTATCTTCTGTCAGACTGAAGCCCCTGGAAGGTGGGGACCCTGTCTTCTTTGTAACGTTTCCCCCTTCCTCTTTTAATACTCTGTACCTAGCACGGCGCTTGGTATGTTGTAGAATTGTAGACATTTAATAGGCATTATGTTTAGATGGATAGATTGACAGACAATGGCCTAAAGAGCAAACTCAAGAACTCCTGTATATTCTGGCTCTATTTCCATGGTTTGATGAAATGCTAAATGCTCTCTGAGGAGAGAAGAGCTTTTGAGAGAAACTCCCCCAAGTGAGATAGGAGTGGATGGCTGCATACATGCTTGTGAAATTCTGTCCCTTCTGAAATTGCCCTTTTCCTTGGAGCTCTTTCCCTTCAGCCCCCATTGCTGACCCGCAGCAGATACTGTCCCCATCCCCCACTCCTTATTGTCTGGCCCACTTTCCCTAAATCATGATTTCTTTTCTTCTTTGCTCTCATGCATCGAAGTCAAAGTCAGGCTAGAACAGCCAGCACTCCCTCTCCCCCGCAAGAAGCTTCACTGAAATCTGAGGGAAACAAAAAGACATATAACAGAGTCAGCTTTCTAAGACACAGATGGGTGATCCAGTGATTCCAGGAATCTCAGTAAAAGCAGCAAAGAATATTCAGTCCCCCAGGTTCCTTGATCTAGTGCTAACCACACTTGGCTCGCACGCTGGCCTGTGTAGCTTTGCAGTCTCCTTGCCTGAGTTCCCTCCTTCCTGGCTTCTCATCTTGGTGCAGTAAGCTCCTGGTGCCATCTTGTTTCCTGGGCACCCAGGATCCACTCCACTGCCTTCCCCACTCTCAAGGACAGACCTGTCTTTAAAAACTAAACTATTGCGTGAGAAAAGTCGAATCGAAATTTGCATTTCAGTTTCTTCTGGAGGGATTCTCAGCTTTCATATTTGCTGAGGTAAAGTTTTTGTTTGCCTTTTTCTGTAGCTCTTGGCACAGCCCAGTTTTTGAAGATGGCTAATTTTAAAGTGTATTATGCATTAAAGGTATTTAAAGCAGTCTAAAGATTGCACCATGCAGAACACCCAGATCTGCCTCTTTTGCTCCTAGCCATTCTAATCGCTGAATAAAACAGTGAGTAGCAGTTTTTGCATAACTATGTTCCCAGTTCTCTTGCCTTATGGCAGGAGTTCATCTGGGATCCACAGACCAAATTTGAGGGGGCTTGTGAAATTAGTTCCTAATTGTACTCAGTATTTCCTTCCTTTATGAAGGTCACCACGTCACAGTGATATTAGCAGTGCTTGTGACTTTGTCATCATTAGAAATCACAGGTATTTTTATGGCACATGTCTTTTTTTTTTTTGAGATGGAGTCTTGCTCTGTCATCCAGGCTGGAATGCAGTGGCACGATCTCGGCTCACTGCAACCTCCCTCTCCTGAGTTCAAGCGATTCTCCTGCCTCAGCCTCCCGAGTAGCTGGGACTACAGGCATGTGCCACCACGCCCGGCTAATTTTTTTTTTTTTTTTTTTTTTAGTAGAGATGGGGTTTCACCATGTTGGCCAGGCTGGTCTCGAACTCCTGACCTCAGGTGATCCACCCATCTCGGCCTCCCAAATTGCTAGGATTACAGGCGTGAGTCACGGCGCCTGGCCCTATGGCACATTTCAGTTGTTACAGATGTTTCACAACACCACAGATGCTGATCTCCACTTCAAAATGACAGCAGCAACCAGTCCTGAACTCATTTGTCTCCTCTCTCTCTCAATCTCTCTCTCTCATGACAGCAGTAACTAGTCCTGAACTCATTTCTCTCTCCTCTCTCTCTCAATCTGTCTCTCTCATGACAGCAGTAACCAGTCCTGAACTCATTTCTCTCTCCTCTCTCTCTCTCATTCTCTCTTTCTCTCTGTCTCTCTCTCTCTCTCTCACACACACACACGTTGTTACATTGATATGTATCTACCTTCTTTTGTAATCCTCATAATTTTATTTGCCTAAAAATATTACTCTGAGAAGGGGTCCACAGACTTGCCTGGATTGCCAGAGGATAGAGGGTCATGGCCAAAAACAAATCACAGAGCCTACATGTGACTTTATCTCAGTATGGCTTTGAAATTACAGTCATCCCTCAGTATCTGAGAGGGATTGGTTCCAGGACCCCCTGCAGATACCAAATCCTCCAGTGCCTAAGTCCCTGATATGAAAGAGCTTAGTGTTTGCTTATAACCTATGCATGCCCTTCCACATACAAAAAAATCATCTCTAGATTACTGGTAATACCTCATACAATGTAAACGCTATATAAGTAGTTGTTATACTGTACTGATTTTTAAATCTGTATTTTTTTTTGTTTTCTTCCCCAAATTTTCTATCCAAGATTAGTTGAATCTGAGGAAGTGGAGCCCACAGATACGGAGGGCCGACTGTAGTAATTTGACACTTCATTTTTCTTAAGGTGTATGAAGGTCCTTTCCTCTCTATTTGTAAATTATATGGTGAATAACAGTATTAAAAAATAAGCTGACTTAAAAGATGTCAGACTCATCTAGGGAAGCCCTTATTAGACATAACGTTTAATGGCAATCTGTGGGTAATAATTACAAAATAAAATGCATATTTGTGAATAAGGATTGAAAAAAGTCTGCTAGCCCTTTATTCATCCAGCTTCGTGCTGACTCCTGTGGAGTCCCCCACTTGGTTCCAGCCTCCAGACTGAAGCATCCCCATCGACCATGAAGCCGCTGAGGTGGATGCCCTGGAGTCCCCAGGTGCTATCTGCTGGGAAGCCACTGGCCACATGTGGCTCTGCAAATTTAAATCAATTCAATTAAAATATAATTGCAAATTCAGGTCCTCAGTCACAAGCCACAATTCATGTGCTCATTAGTCAGCCCTGGCTGGTGGTTTCCACATGTACATATGTCCCAGCACAAATTCTGTTGTTTAACATGAATTTAGCTTTTCCCTTCAGGTTGTCCTCCATGGATGTCCTCCTCTGGTGCTGAACCGGTGCTTTTCTGCACACACCTGGTCCTGTGGGTATCTACCATGTGTAAGGGATTGTGTGTTAGGCTCCACCTTCTACAGTGCTGAGTGATGAGCAGTACAGGACAGGGGACATCCATCTGGCAGCCTTTATTGTTGAGTCTCAGCTTGAGGCTTGCATTGGTGAAGTGAGAAGCCATCAGTGACTAGCCTTCCCCTGACCCACAAAGCTGGAGAGAGAGATATGTGAGCTGTTGAGAAAAGTGGCAAGGACTTAACTGTATTTGGTGTCTGCTTCAGAAAAAAAAAACAAGATTCCTAGTGGAAACAGGAATCTTACGTTTCCTGGGCAGGTTGTTTAAAGGTGGGTGGGCCATGGATAGTTGGCAGCGAGAGGAACTTCCCTTGCAGGAGTCCAGGGAGGATGAGAGCAGAAACCTAGAGATGGCAGTGTGCGTGACTCACGTCTTGTATGTAGAGACCCTCTCGCTAGCACAGAACCAGAGTGCCCTTTGGAGGTGGGAAAGGCTTCCCTAAGAGCCAAAGTTGGAGGCCCTTGGTCTGTTCTCAGTGTCAAAATCTTAGACACAGAGGGCATGTGACAGAACCTGTAGACTAGGGGGACAGTAGCTTTGTGTGGCCTGTGTGGGCTCTGGTGCCATATCTCACTGTAAGCTCAGAGGTATTTGGAAATCCACCTGTCTCCATCATTCTGAACACATCACCCCTCCATCATAAGTTCTGCATCCCACCTTGTAGCCATGGTTGCAGCTCCATGGTTTGGCCAACGGAGCATAGGGTTTGCTTTTAGACACCTAATGGCACGTGAGTCAGCAGCTTTACACTCAGTGCCCAGTGGCACTGCCATACTCAGAACCTACTTGGGCAACTGCTCAGCCAGGGTCTCTGATAACAGAGACTTTGTATTGTTCACTTTGTATTGTGGGAAGACTGTGAGCTTCTGATGCCTCGGTTTACTCTCCATGGCCCACCTGGATGCATACCTCTTTTAGAGACAGAGCATTTGAATTGGTGCTCACTTGACATTTGTCTTTCTGGCTTTTCCCAGGACTCCTTGGCAGCAGAGATTGAGGGAACAATGCGCAAGGAGCTGCAGTTGGAAGAGGCCGAGTCTCCAGACATCACGTATGGCCACAGTTTTTACAGTTCTGAGCTTCCCAGAGACCACCTTGTGACCTGTGGTGTTCAAAACCTGGCAATGTTGAGGCTCTGGGTACCAACAGTGATTGACTATTGTCCTTCCCAGTCCAGATTAAGGGAAATAATAAATAATAGAACACAACTGACAGCATCCCTTAGCTCCTCTTATTAGCTTTTGTTAGTGTTAATTTTTATTTATTTGCTTTTTAGCGATGGGGTGTCACACTTTATTGGCCACGCCAGAGTGCAGTGATGTGATCATAGCTCACTGCAGCCTCGAACTCCTGGGCTCAAGTAATCCTGTTGCCTCAGCCTCTTGAGTAGCTGGGGCTACAGGTGCATGCCACCATTTCCAGCTAATTTTAAAAAATCTTTTGTAGATATGGGGCTTTGCCATGTTGCTTAGGCTGATCTCAAACTCCTGGCTTCAAGTGATCCTCCTGCCTTGGCCTCCCCGGAGCGTTGGGATTACAGGCATGAGCCACTGGCCTGTGAGCCACTGTGCTCCTCTTCTTCTTAGGTTTTATAGACAAATTGTGAACTTCCAGAAAGTCCTAGAAAAGGAGATATATGTTTCCCATCTGTCTTAACACAAGCTTCGTCTTGATATAGCTACACATTTTTATCTTTCATTTCAGTGGAAAACGTTTAAAAAATTTAAAATCAACGTAGTATGAGATTCAGAGGGCTCTTCAAAGATCTTGTGCAAGGCTTCCATCTCCTTCTGAATACACCTAAGGATATGAGCTTCTCCATCTCTCTTCCTAACTCAACTCTTGTACTTAGCCTATCCCAAGGTGTTTGTAAGGAACCTGTGAACCAGGTTTCATTGTGTTTTCTCTGTACCCAGACTCCATAGACAGAACTAAAATGAGATCCTGGGAGTGACAAGTGTCCAAGAGAGGTTCGGTATATGTGTGACACCCTTTGCAGCCCAGAAGGAAGTGGCCATTGTAAAAACATGCCTACCCTTTTTAAAAGGGAACAAATGAGCATCAAAGTGTGGTTCTGTTCCTGAAATAACACTTTCCAAAACATAGACAAATCTAGTATTTATCATCTAATTACAGAAGTGTAAGACTAACTTTAAGTCTTGCTTTTTTAATATGAATATTCATTCTACAAGTGTTCATTGATCTCTGCTATGTGCTAAGCAGTGAACACTGCTCTGCTGCAGCATGTATTCTAGTGAATATTATGAAAAAAGAAAACTAGGAGACAAAAGTCAACTTAAGTATTTTTATTTGTAGGTTAAGCTTTAGGGATGTAAAACACAGTTTCACTCTTGCTAGCATCTTTAGCACAACCATGGTTCGAGTTCTGGATTTAGTGGGTATTGAAGCTCTCAAATTTCGCATTGTGAAGGAGGCAGCCAATACCCTAAGAAACAGGTGGCAGGCACAGGATAGTGGGCTGCCTGGGGACTCGTCACAGGCCAGGTGCCCTTTTGGCTCCTCAGTTGGTCATTTTTGGAGGGTTAAACTCCAGGGTCGTGCCCGCATTTGCTCACTCACGGATGCCGTGCATTCTCCCTAGTCACCAGAAGCGTGTCTTTGAGACAGTAAGAAACATCAACCAGGTCGTCAAGCAGAGATCTCTGACCCCTTCTCCTATGAACATTCCTGGCTCCAACCAGTCCTCGGCCATGAACTCCCTCCTGTCCAGCTGTGTCAGCACGCCCCGGTCCAGCTTCTACGGCAGCGACATAGGTAACGTCGTCCTCGACAACAAGACCAACAGCATCATTCTGGAAACAGAGGCAGCCGACCTGGGGTGAGCAAGCTGGGAGTTTTCACTTCTCTGTTTTGGGGTGAGGAGTGGTAGTATGGATTGCCTGCAGGCTTAGTAATTGTTAAGAGCGGGGTAGATGAGAGTCGCCTGAAAAATACAGACCTGGCCAGGTGTGGTGGCTCATGCTTGTAATCCTAGCACTTTGGGAGGCTGAGGCAGGAGGATTGCCTGAGCTCAGGAGTTTGAGACCAGCCTGGGCAACACTGCAAAACCCCATTTCTAGTAAACGTACAAAAAATTAGCTGGGCGGGGTGGCGCTCGCCTGTAATCTCAGCTACTCAGGAGACTGAGGCAGGAGAATCACTTGAACCCAGGAGGTGGAGGTTGCAGCAAGCTGATAATCGCACCACTGCACTCCAGCCTGGGTGACAGAGTGAGACTCTGTCTCAAAAAAAGAGAAAAAAAAAAAAGCAGACCTTAACAGTTCTCCAAATCTGTTTTACCTACCCACCAAGCCTACGCCTGTCCTTGATATGATATTTTAATCAGCTTAAAGATGTATAACAAGATGATACCAGAAAGTCTGCTTTCCTGTGAAATGCTTGCGGGGGAGGATTAATGAATATTTTGTTGTTGTTGTTAGTCTTCATAGTAAGGCTACAGAATAGACGTTTGTTTTGTGACCCTTTTGTAGTTTGATGTTGGAAAGGCTGAGGACTCAGGCTGTCTGTCTTGTGACCAGAATGTGGTCAGAGGGTAGGGTGCAGGGGGGGCCAAGGTGCCCAGGACTGGGTTTTCCTCAGGAGTGGTCAGTTCCTTCTTGTCCTGAAGCCCTGCAGAACCTACACACACACACACACACACACACACACACACGCACAATTGTCCACTTTGTGCATCCTTTTCCTCTGACTTAATAAAATTGATTCTTCTGGACCAGTTGGATCAGACAGACAGGAAGCTCCTTGATCAGAGCAGGTTTTGTTCAGAGTTGGGGTCTGGGCTCCTTTCCTTCAAGAGGAGAGAGAAGCATCCCTTAAACCAGTTGCCCTTCTGGTAGCCAGGAACGGTAACCTACAGGTTTCTTCCTAAAGATTCTTGAGGGAGATGTTTAGAGGGACTGAATTTACCTAGTCTGTGTGCAAAATATTCATCCCACCTTAGTCCTCACCCCACCTCAACCCCACTAAAAAAGACCCCTGGCGGGAGTAGTTCTGGACACGCATTTGTTTCCCCCTTTTGCCTAAATGTCAACTGCTTGCCTTGGTTCCCATGGAGAATCCTGCAGCCCCAGGGAACGTCCTCCCCTGTGCATTGAGCAGTCAGGCCTCTGTGCCCTTGGAGACTGGCTAGTGTTCCACTGTCACACCCCTTTCTTCTTCCAGAAATGATGAGCGGAGTAAGAAGCTGGGGACGCCGGGCACCCCAGGCTCCCACGACCTGGAGACAGCGCTGAGGCGGCTGTCCCTGCGCCGGGAGAACTACCTCTCAGAGAGGAGGTTCTTTGAGGAGGAGCAAGAGAGGAAGCTCCAGGAGCTGGCGGAGAAGGGCGAGCTGCGCAGCGGCTCCCTCACACCCACTGAGAGCATCATGTCCCTGGGCACGCACTCTCGCTTCTCCGAGTTCACCGGCTTCTCCGGCATGTCCTTCAGCAGCCGCTCCTACCTGCCCGAGAAGCTCCAGATCGTGAAGCCGCTGGAAGGTGATCGCGCGGGGCCTCGGCCTCTCTCTGTCCTCCTGGGGGACTCCCTGTGGTCCCTGATCCACCTGCGGAAGGCGGGGCACCTCTGTCACGCCTACTCCTTTTTCTTCCGAGACAGCCATCCGCGCTGCTGGTTTGAGTTCCTCTGACGGTGGCGCTCAGCCTAGGCCTCCATCCCTCTCCTCTGGCTGGCAGGTGTGACAGTGCACACATAGACCACCAAACTCGCCAAGGAAAGACAAGCATGTGCACTGTGGTCTTCTAGTTATTTCCTTTGCCTTTAGAACCTTAGAAATAAAAACCTTTTGTGGCAGTAGAGGCATTGCTAACAGATTCAAAAATTGATTAGGTTTTGCCTGTGGGTGTGAGGAATGCAGAGAATTAACGCTTTAGCTTCTCCGAAGTTTTGGTGTCAGGGAGAGGTTCCAAGCAAACTCTATTAAATGGGGATTTTTTTTTTTTCCCCATAACCACCCGAATGTGATTTGGGGGCTTATGTGTTTTGATTTGAACTTCATATAACAAGGTTGTGGCTTTTGGCAGATGCATTATGTTGTGAGCTCGGCTCCTAGAGTCTACAGTTTGGAGTCCAGGAAGGGCGGTGGCTGTGGAGACAGTGAGTTTTGTGCCTCCTTAAGCCACCCTTTTCCCCGGGCAGTTCATATTTTAGTATCAGGGGCACCGCAGATGATTAAACTCATGGAAAAACGTCTTCCTCCCTCCCTCCCTCTCTCGCTCTTTCCCTCCCTCCTCTTTTTTTTTTCTTTTAGGCACTTAAAAATGTTTTCCCTCTACATACCACCACCCTGCCAAGAGCCACCAAGTGTTTATATTTTTCATTTTTTACTCCTTTAGTTTTGAAAGCCATATAAGTTTGAGAAGCTATTTCAAAACTATGTTACACTTACGATGCAAAGCCAAATCAGAACTTCTGTAAAGCAGAACCTAACTTTTAAAAATTATTGTCCCTTCTAAGGAGCCTTCTAAGACGTTTTTTCCTGATCACCCCGATGGCATTTTAATACCACAGATATATTGTTTATGTACTATATGTATATCCATATACAGTATACATAAACAATACATAAACAATATATCTATGGTATTAAAATAAAAATAATCCAATTATGTTCACCTCAAAAGAACCTGTTTTTGCCCCTCGGGAGCAATATTGCCCCTGTGAGAATGCATGCTATAAGGTAAGGTTGTGTTTATTAAAGACCCAAGACATGACTGGGTTCCATAGTCTCCAAAGGAAGAGGGTGGGCTAGTTTGTTTTTATTATTATTTTAAAATTGTATAATTGGGGTCCTTAGAGTTCCGAAAAGGTATGGCTTACTCTTTTTTGATTATTTATTTAGTTGTAAGCTTGGTGATTGTTTTCTGATCTACATTGTGTCTGTTCTTTCAATAAAATCTTTCATTTCTGCAATTTTACTTTCTGCCTTACTTTTCTTTTTTCTCCTTTGTCACTCAAAAATCATTGGAATTTATCATCTCTGTCTTGTCTGCTTTCTATATTTGACTCTGTGTTTCGTTAGATCATTTAAGAATATGTTTTTGAATTTATTTTCAAAGCACACGTTTTAGCCAGTTCATCTTTCTTTCTTTTAATTTTGTGACTTGGCAGTATTTTTGTGATCAGTTAATAGGATAATAGGAAATCCTGTTAGATTAGCAAGGTGATTTTCATCTGTAGTGCTCTGCTACCCAGGAGGCTAAATCAATACCATTAAAAAGTTATTTGTCTTATCACAGTAGCCTGTAACACAACCTCATGATATAGATCCTTTAGGCTCCATTTTGTAGTTCTCTGACTTCTTAGCTGTTTATTTATGTATTTAGTTTTTGAGACAGGGTCTCGCTTTGTCACGCAGGCTGCAGTACAGTGGTGTGATCACAGCTCACTACAAGCTTGAATTCCTGGGCTCGAGCAATCCTCCCGCCTCAGCTTCCCAAGTAGCTAGGACCACAGGAGTGCACCACCACACCTGGCTAATTTATTTATTTGTAGAGACAGGGTCTTACTATGTTGCCCAGGCTGGTCTTTAACCTCTGCCCTCAAGTTACCCTTCCACCTCAGCCTCCCAAAGTGCTAAGATTACAGGCGTGATTCACCACACCTGGCTCAGACTTCTTAGCTGTTACAACCAATATTTTCTTTTTTCCCCTCTGCAGTTATTTTTTTATGTTACCATGTTTAATATGGTAAGATGGGATGCTGACACAGAAGTCAGCCTGGACCAGGTTCAGTACAGCTCTGACTGTGACATTAGATAAATCACCCCACTTTTTGAGCCCTGTTTCCTATTTAATTGTGGTTATGACATAGGCTGATAGCTATCAAACGAGATTCCAGTGAGGAGTAAATGAGAAGCATTTTATATTGTACCTGGCATCTAATAGGTGCTTATTAAAATGTTGGCTTCCCAAGCTTGCTCCAGTCCAGGTCTGTTACTAGGGCTAAGTTACTAGTGTTGAGATCTGGACCAGCACTAGGGTCATGTTCTTAAATTATCTTTTTCTGTTGGCCCACTGAGAAGCTAGTAAGACTCCCATGATCGCCATCGGCCCGGGTAAATGGACCTGGGGGGAGGTCCCGAGAGACTGTTGGCTGAGATCACAGCAGATAGCCAATCAGTATCTTCCATCTGGCTCCCTTACCTGTTAATTAATCTTGCCATCTGCTTATTGTGAAAGCCAAAATAGCTAAGTGTTTAAGAGTGCTAGCAATCTCTTGTCTCTTCATCTTACCTTACCAGTTTTAAGCAGGTGAACAACAAACAAAACATTCAAACTAGAAAGATATCCGCCTTAAAAAGACCAAGGCAGGCAGTATTTTTTTCCTGTAATTTGCACTTCCTTTCTGCTTAATCATAACCAAGGTAGCATTTCCAAATAAATAATATGTAAATAAGGGAAAGGATACATTTCAAAGCTGTGCATTATCCAGCAGGTTTCGTTCTAGTGTCTAAACCCTGATGCTCCTCTGACATCAGTGGATTTTGGAGTTTCCTCTCCTTTGATGACTTGAAAATGTTTTAGCTGGAACACTGGGGTATGGAAGGGAAGCAGAGGGGGAAAGACACCATGACCGTAGTTAAGTTTTCACCACTGTCCATGCCCTTTTCCCAGATAACTTTATCTTGGGGCCAACCAGGAACATGAAGCTTCCTCTCTTTCCTTGCCCTGTTTGCCCAACTCCTGCCTGGTTTTAATGTGGGTGAGAGGAGTGAGCAGGTCTTGGGTTGGTAATGGGAGGTAGCTCATATTACAGTGTTTGGCAAGTAAAGAAGCCAGGCTGGGGAATGAGCTGGAGAAATGGAAAGAAAGAGGCAACTTGGGCTCTGAATAAGATGCAATTCATATTTATTTTTAAATTCGTATACCTTCTTGTGTCAAAGGAAGGACTCCAGGCAGCCAGGAGATTGGTGGAATTCCCACATGGTGGTTTAGGCAGTGGCAGGGAGGTGAGGCATGAGGTATTCTGCCCAGTTGACGGGCTTGGCAAACCCCACTGGGACCTTGGAACCAGCCAGGAGTGGAGATAGTCCATGAGCCCCACAGCATGACATAACTGAAATAGCACAGTCAGGTTTGAGAAGGCACCTGCATGGGAATCTAGAAAGCCATTCAGGTGTGTTATTGACTAGGTTTCGGAGACTCTCATGTGTGAGGCCTCTCACTGCTGAGGGTTAGGAGAATGGACACTGGAGCCAGCCTTGGTTTCAGTCCCAGATCAGTCAAGCCACTTGCCAGCTATGCAGCCTCTAGCAAGTTACTTTCCCTTCCTGTACTCAAGTTTCCTCATCTGCAGAATGCAGACAGCAGGGATAACGTGAAGATTAAGTGAATTATAAATGTAGACCTCAGAAAAGGGCCTGGCGCTTAGTAAAAGGCCAGTAAAAGTTGGCTGTTCTTACATGAGTAAAGGATGCGCAAGGCATGGGATAAAAATCTGAGCATGATGCATCTTTCCCCATAATGTTTTAGTTGTAATTTCACTAAATTTCCTTGACTGTGGAGTGTCAGAGAATGCAAGTAACCCCATGCATTTCTGTGACCTCCTTAACTCCAAACAGCAGACCCTTTGTAGCCTCATTTCTCTGTCTTCAGCTCATCCTTGGGAGCAGGTGAGGAGAGGGAGTGATGGGGCAGCCGGTTGAACAGTTGGAGGGGACAGGCCTGTGAGACTCTTGTCAGGGCCCAGACCTCCAGCCTCCCTGGGTTCTTTCCCAGTGAACTGTAAACATCTCAGACCCCCTTCAGAAGGATGACGAGGTTTGGCATTTCCTTACCAGAGTTCTTCACTTCCCAGAGTCTACTGGGAAGTATATCCTCCTTTTTCCTTCCAAAAGTAGAGGTGACGTGGCCATATTGTACCTGGGGTTTTCTCATCCTTCTCAGACTCCGGTGTACAGTCCCAAGCTGAACATGACAGTACAGTGGCTTCTTTAAGACTTCTCGTGGTGCTGTTTTGTTATCGGGAATGTGCCTGCACGGCCAGTGAGCATTTATACCAGGGCCCATTAGGTAGTGTGAATGCGAGTCCCCAGGGACAGCAGAGAACTCCTATCAGCAGGATTGTCTTCTGGCAGGCCCTGCACAGCCATCTGGAAATTCTGCTGCTGACCGTTTGTGCAGCTGGGACACCGATGTCCTTCTTGTTCTCAGACCTGTGGGTTTTGATGGGTGGGCAGTGTGAAAACTTGGTCTTTCGTTCTGAACCCCGGCTATGCCACCACTAATTAAGTGGCTTTGGAAAGTTATCTAACTTCAGGCAGCCACCATTCCCCTGTCTGTAAAGTGTTTAATCATACTTAGTTCCTAGGATGGTTTTGAGGAGTGAATTGGTATAATACATGTAAAACAAACTGCCACGCAGGCCTGGCTCAATATAGGGAAGCTTAATTTAAAAGAAATCACAGTGATGCTGTGGCGTCTGGGACTCGGGAGCCCATGCACTGGTCTCCGCAGGTCTGCGAAGCCCCGGCCTTGTTTGCACGGTGTTGCTAGCATGCGCCCTTCCTTTAGGAAGTGGGTCCACAGCTTCCTTCAGATTCTCAAAACATCCGAGAGTTAAGAACCACAGCTCTAGAGCAAGGTTTCTCAACCCCAGCCCTGTTGACATTTGGGGCCAGTTCGTTCTTTGATGTGGAGGCTGTCCTGTACATTGTGTTACGTTTTGCAGCATCTCTGACTTTTACCCCCTAGATGCCATTAGCACTAGATGCTGTTCCTCCACAGCTGTGACAACCAAATGTGTCTCCAGACATTACCAAATGTCCCTGGGTGGGGGAGTATGAGGTGCAAAATCGCCCCTAGTTGAGAATACCGCTCTAGATGCATCTTAGTACCTAGTGAGGGAACAGATATGTTGTGATACCCTCTTTCATTATATGTCATTCTTTCCTATTTCTTTTTTTCTTGAATTTAGAGTATTTTCTATTTATATTTAATAGATCCAGATTAAGTATGTTGCTCTTGTACCTGTGAACTCTTAAAACTGGGATAAACCTTCATGTGGGTGTCTAGGAACTCGTTAAACATGTATTGGCAGTGTGCACCTTTTTTTTCCTTTTAAGCGGATTTGAAATTGCTCATTTATAAATCCCTTTCAAGCCTCCCTGGCTAAGATTGACCCATGAGAAGTTATTTCCAAGGGGTGTTTGGAAATGGCAGACTCTCTGCACACACCACGGGGCCTCTCCCTCACCCCACCACCTCCCACCTTGGCCTGCCTGCCTTCCCTTGTCTTTTGTCTTGACTTCCTGAGCTGCTGGCTCCTGGCATCCTTGACTCCCTTTCCTTCGCTCCCCAGGGCAGCCTGGTATCCTGGAGGGCTTCTTGCCTACCCAGGAAGTATACCCTTGGTAAACCAGTGGTGACTGCCCGAGCATCCATTTGTGCAGGAAGGCGCCTGCCTTCCAGTGCCTAAGAACCTCTTCAGAAGTCTCTCCTTTGAGCATGGAATATTTATTTGTGTGACCATGCACATTTGAGTGCCTTCTGCATCTGTAGAATGGGGCTAGCCGTGCGAGCCTCACGGCCCATGCACTAGCATGGTGTCATGTGAGGCATTAATAAGTGTTCCAAGGTAAAAAAGGTTGCTCTGTCAAGTACGTTGGGCAAAAACACTGTAACACACTGAAGGTTCTGTGATGCCCCTCAGTAAAAACACTTCCGTTTCCTGAGCATGCTTGGCCTAGGAACACTTCTCTTTGTAGAGCACCTGTGACACCTTGAGGTCTTCAGGGACACACTCCGGTGTTATTACAGACCTTGCATGATGTCATCTGAGTCCTTGGGTTTGGTGTCATCAAGAAGATGGGCTCCCTGGCTTTAGACCTCCATGTGGACTTACTGTGTTCTTAAGTCACACCTCTTTAACCCGATTCCTTCTCCCTAACCCGGCAGCCTCTCAGAGTTGCTGGCAAAATACCGAAAACCTAAGTAAAGGAGGTGATGGTCACATCTACCACATATCTCTGTGTGCTGCTTTCATTTCTTTTTGCTTTCCTCTTGCTGAGGGTCCTGGGCTTGGCATGGTCTTATTCTGCCTGAGCTTATGTCTTCCCTGTTCCCAGAAGTGTGTGTTTGGCATAGAATCAGTACATGTGGCCCCCGTTTTGTGCTTATCTTGCCATTTTCCCCCTTCCATTTTGTAAAATGAGAAGGTGTTGAGTTCTGGGGCGGACATCAGTTGATTAAAATAAAAACCTCGCCACCAAACCTCTTTTGCACATACTATGGTGTGGCTTTTACTTAAAAAAAACAAAAAATTGTTGATTTCTTAACTTGGTACCCCTTCTGATCATGGTAGGGTTTGGCTACTGTTTCATGGCAGGATGGGCTAAGGCAGCTCCACTGAAGTTCCCACTGCAGTCCACCTGGAGGCCCAGACCCTGCTGGGGTTCACGCTGAGCACTTTGAGGGTGGTAAACAGCCATTGTCTTGGACTTCCATCCTAACCCTCTCTTCTCCTTGTCCCCTTCTTCCATTCCCTTTCTCCTGCAAGGTTCTGCCACCCTTCACCACTGGCAGCAGTTGGCCCAGCCTCACCTTGGGGGCATCCTGGACCCCCGGCCTGGTGTGGTCACCAAGGGCTTCCGGACACTGGATGTTGACCTGGACGAAGTGTACTGCCTTAACGACTTTGAAGAAGATGACACAGGTGACCACATTTCTCTCCCGCGCCTAGCTACCTCCACGCCAGTTCAGCACCCAGAGACCTCAGGTGAGAGGTCCCGAGCCCGTGTGACTGTCTCAGGCAGCAGAAGTTACCCGAGCCGGCCTCAGGCTTCCCCAGAGGAGATGCAGGAGCCAGCGGCCACGGAGAAGGAGGAGGAGGAGGAGGAGGAGGAGGGGTCTGGTGAGGGCACCACGATAAGTCCTGTAAACTTGGCACCTTTCCCGGAGGCAGAGTTTTGGGCCATTCTCACCTCTGTTCCGGGCACCATCCGTAGTGGCTCTCTGTCTGTAGCTTCCGCTCGTCTGTGTGGGTGATGATGAAAGCATTCTCATTGCACAGTACTGTTTTTAAATACAGAGTCTGATGACTCCTATTTGTAACAATGGGTGTGGCTCCCCTGCCCATCTTGGAGGTGCATGGCCCAGCAGGGATCGTAAAGTGGGAGCAGGAAAGGCTGCTAAAAAAAAAAAAAAAAAAAAAGGTGGGCTTTGGGGCCCCTGAAAAACATCAGTGCCCTTCTTCCTGGTCTGGGTGTCTCCCTGAGTCTAAGGGGAAGATTCTCAAGTCCCCTGGTGATTTCCAAGTGGAGCTGAGCAATTTTAGGGAAATTGAGTGCTGGGTCATTCAGAAGGCAAATGAGATCATCTGTTACCTGTATGCTGTATTAAAATAGAAAGAACCAGGAAAGGTTCAGGATTTCAGACACTTCATCAGCCTTTTCACTTTCCCAACTTCAATGGAGGTGTAGATGTCATTTTCTTTTCAGCTTACACATGTTTTCAAATTGGATTTTTATAAAGTGTTTTAGCAATACTCCTTAACCAAATAAACCTTTGGAGAATGTCACTGAGCTTTTCTAGAGAGAAGACCCTAGATGAAGCTGGAAAAGAGCTCTGGCTGACTCCACCCACTGCACCCAAGCATTAAAGGTGTGGCCATGAGTTTACAGAATTACCCACATCCCAGTTGCCACTGGGATGAAAAGCTTTGTGCTCAGAGCCCTGGGAATCATGGGATCACATGGTTACTGTTTATCCCAACAGCATGCTCTGCCTAGACTGGACCTCCCAGCCCCTTGTGTTGGGAAGACAAAGCTTTTGTGGAGTCAGGGGAGAGACTGAGAAAAAAATGAATTAACCCTGTGTTGTCATTCTCATGACATTCCCGAGGATTCACTAGGTTTGAAGCAAGGACATTCATCTTTGTGATTCGTAATTTTCATTTTTGAAGGCCACAACACTCCCCTTGAAATACAGGGCAGGAAAGAGCTGAGGTTCTTCCATTCCCCTGGCGAATTTCAAACAGCTGTGGTCAAGGGATTTTATTTGGGATCAACTTTTCCTTTTTTTCTTGATGTTAGTTTTAGAGAAGTCATCAAGTCGTGTGATTTGTTTAGTACCTAGGTTTGTTTATGGTTTGGTTTTTTTTAAAGCAGTTAAATTACTAGATTAAGCTTGTGAGGGAATGAAAATGTTTTTTATTTCGTATCTACACACTTGAGAAAGGGAAACCAGCTGCGGTACTGTCCCAGTTTTGTCATCAGCACCCGTGGCCATCAGGAAGGCAGGTGGTGGTGCAGGAACATGACGCCTGGCTGGTTTTTGTGGCTGCAGGGGTAGGCCCCATGCCGATTGGGATACTCCCCTACAACCTTACAGGTAGAATAGAAGGTGAGTTCTGGGAGTGCAAAGAAGCACCTTTAGGTGTACCTTCTAGAAGTTGTACAGAAGGACTAAAGCTTATCAAGTCAACAAAGAACTTATCTTGGAGGACAGAGAGAGAGAAGGGACCAATAATGAGGACTGGGGACATCCTGACCACTCTCCTTAACATAAACACTGACATTTTTCTTGCTTGTTCCCTCTGTACTCAAACCTGTAGCAAATTCATCCTAGAAACACTATTTGAGGAGGGGCATGAACATTTATAGTTGAAACTGTAGAAAGGGTCAGGTTGGAGGTGTGTAATAAAAAATAATTACCTGGGTTGCCAAAGGTAATTTAGGAAGGGTCTGATCATTTAGATGAGAATTCTTTGGGGCTTATTTTCTGGGTGAGGTTCATCTTTAAAAACTGGCTTCAGAGGGGAGAGGGGTGAACAATGAATTGGCTCTGTTTTCTCTATTGGGAATTACAGGACCATTTTGATTCTCAGAATTTAAAAAGCATATCATCATCCTGGAAGTCCCAGTTAGCTCTATGCCTGCCATCATGGAGACACAGGCAGACAGATAAGCTTTATGGGGAAGGCTTGGGGCATCCTTTGTCTTGGGATATGTATCCATGGTGTCTCGTCACTGCCTTTTAATCCGTCCTGTATGCTTGGGCTTTTCTGTTGCCAAACAGCACTATCCCAGGAACTGCTGTCTGCCTGGGGAAACTCAGTAGGGAGGCACTTTGGAGACAGAAGGTGATGAACCTTTTTATGTGCAGCTGGTGTGATAGAAGGAAACTGGGAAGACTTGTACGCTAGGCAGTTTTGTCCAGAGCCTGCTGTCCCATGGAGAAAAACTTTTAAGCACTGAAAAAATTTGATTAATGTATTTAAATGTATTATTTGAAGCATCATTCACTTGTTGATTTTTATAATCCCATGTCTTAAAAAGGATGATTCCATGTTATTGTATTGTAAATAATTTAGATGATTAAAATGGATTGTTTAAAAAGTTTTAGATTATAGTTTTACTTTATTTCAGTGATATGTTTTATGTTTTAATTTATATAGAAAGTATACCTTATCAGAACTAGTCATCATCTTGTTCTGTCAGTACTCTGTATTTTAGGTATTTGTGTGGGAAAGAGCCTACATGTGGCAAAGGACTAAGAGTTAAAGTCACACAGTTAAATCAGTAGTTGGCTAGTGGATGAGCAGTTCAGTTGAATTATCTGGAATGCCTTGATCCTTAAAGGTGAGAAAGAAGTGGGATTAAAGCCACATGGATAGAGAAAATTGACGGTCAGTTTATTTTAATGCTTTTATGCATCAAAGACTGATTCATATTGAGGGGAGGTATCCTCAGAAACTTACACGAATCATGGCATCTTGACATCTTACCTGGCAGTGACCCGGCAGTAGAACCTTGTCCTAATTGGAGCTGAGATTTTTTTTTTTTTTTTTTTTTTTTTGAGACAGAGTCTCACTCTGTTGCCTAGGCTGGAGTGCAGTGGCATAGTCTCAGCTCACTGCAACCTCCACCACCTGGGTTCAAGTGATTTTCCTGCCTCAGCCTCCCAAGTAGCTGGGACTATAGGCACACGTCACCACGCCCAGCTAATTTTTGTATTTTTGTAGAGACGGGCTTTCACCCTGTTAACCAGGCTGGTCTCATACTCCTGGCTTCAAGTGATCTGCCCTCCTTGGCCTCCCAAAGTGCTGGGATTACTGGTGTGAGCCACCACACCTGACCTGGAGCTGAGATCTTAAAGTCAGAGTGGAAGACAAAAAGCACAGTTGGCTAAAATTGCCCTTGAAAAATTCCCTAAATCTTCAGCAACTGGGCCACCAAGGCAAAAGCCAAGAATCAGCTGCTTTTGTTGCCTCCTTGTTTGATACATAGGCCCAAGGTCAGGAGCAGTGACTGGGTGAAGGGGCCGAGAAGGGCTGGTGGTAGGAAGGAGCCAGGCGGAGTCAGGCCAGCAGGGTGTTCCCGCAGCTTTGCCCAGGCGAGGCAGCTAGAGCAAAGCTGAGCCAGCTCGTATCCTGTCCCCACTTCAGTCCACCACAGACCACAGAAGTGGGGTTCAGACAGGCTTGTGAGAAGTTGGTTTGGGGGCTTGATGGGTCTGGAAAGAAAAGTCTGGTATGCTCGATTCACAGACCCTTGGGTACAGGGAAGTTCCTTCCCATTGTCTACATTGAGAGAGTTGATGTGAGTTCCCACACTGTTGGGAACACTTTTTGATTCAGCCTGGTTCTGTGGCAGTTGTGAGGGAGTTTGGTTGTTATGGACAGAGTGGATGGTTGGCTCACACCCACCTGTATTAGGAGATGCTAAGGAAAGCCCTGTGCTCTTCCATCAGAATATATAGTAAGCCAGAGTAAAACAGGCCAACTGCCACCTGCAAGTGGAAAAATGAAGAATGAAAGAATTGATTCCTTCAAAACAAACAGCATAGAGTCAGCTGTGCTTAAAATGTCTAGAACAAAGCCCACTTGTTGAGCATTTTCTCTCTGGTGTCCTCACCTCTGAACACTACAGAGGGCCCCCTGGTGCTCCTGGAGGCACGTGGGTTGCTGAGGAGTAGGTGTCTGAACCTGACTCCCTTCTAATGTGGAGGGCTCTTGAGGGAGCACCCAGTGTTGAGGGGAGGAGCTGTGCAACCGCACTGCCTAGTGAAGCACAGGTGAAGTGCTCTCTTGTGCTGGCCTTGAACGCACCAGCCGGGAAAGGTCTTGATGCAGCTCAGCCAGGCTACCTCCCTTCACCTGTTGGTGTCTGCCACAGAAGGAAGGACAAGAGGACAAAAGGGCGTGGGGTCCAGCTTTGTTGGTGTCTGAAGACTACAAAGGGATTTCTGCATTTGCCCTTTTGACATTTTAACAGCATTCTAAAAATCCCCCTTTCTCTAGAAGATACCCCAGGGGCACTTGAGAGAATTTGTGACCCTCTGCACAATGCTGTGAAATTGTTTATCTCTTAAATCACATCCTTTTTAGGTGAAACAGGGTAGACAACTTGGCGTAGTGGGAAGAAGAGTCGACTTTTAATTTTGCAGAAACCAAAAATAAGTTGTGCAGAAACCAGAAAAAGATCTTGTGATGTGTGGTTCGAAATCTCTGTGATAGAAACCTCCCAGCTTCCTGCTGGCCAGATGTCTGATCACCGAGGAGCTCAGGGATCTCTACGGAGCTGCAGGAGCAGTCGAGGGCTCTGTTGAAGAAATGCTTAAGCAGAGAAAAAATAAATACCAAGCCTCTGTGAAGCCCAGAACTAAGGCCTTTAAAAGTGTCATCTTGTACCACATGTTACAGTTTAAAATCACTTTTGTATTTTTTAAAACAAGCTGCACTGCTGCATCTGAAACTGCTCTTAATTCCCCCACTCCCCACCTCCAGAGAAAACACTTGTTAAAGCCACACGAATCCCTAGAATAGTACTTACATTAATGATGACTTGTAGGGCAAACTATGCAACTTTTCCCACGTGAACTCATCATAGAACTTTTTTCCCTCTGAAAATATCATGGGCAGAGTTACATAATGAAGAGACAGGAAAGTCTTTAGAGCACCTTCCATGCCCTGATATTTTAGTCTTTTAGGAAGAGATAAAGCATTGCTTCTTCCCTATCTGTTTAATGGAAAGGGAACTATTTCTCATATAGGTGACAGTAAAGACATGTCTTCCTCTCCCCTTTCCAGCCCTCAAGCAAAAGGCAACAAAGTCATTGGAAGCTGGGCACTAAACAACTAAAATATACTGATATTCCTAGGGGATAGCTCAAGACATACCCTTAATCTGGATGGACAACGGCTTTTATTTTCAATAGATTTGTTTTTACTTGGATAGAACAGGCTGGCCTGTGGGTGCCACTGTTGGGGTGTGTGTGTGTTGGTTGAGGAGTTTATAGAACTTGAAAAGCAGATCCAAGTCATGTGACAGCAGCATCCCACCACATGCTCAAGTTAAGAAAAGGAAAGAAAGGTCAGGGCATAGGGTTTATTTTATACAAGTTGGCCATTTCCCAAGAGTGATGAAAAGAACGTGGAAGGTCCTCAGTGCATCACAAAGGTGGAGTCCCTTTTCCAAGATTTTGAGATGCTTTTGTAAATTTACATTTATAGAAGTTATTTATGTGAGTTTTTAAAAATAGCTTGGGTATGCGGCATGGCCAGTGTTTCTCCATTCTCAGAGGCTTCCTCAGAAGTAGCTGTGTCTGGGTGTGTATTGCACCCTGAATTTCCCCATAGCAACATACCAAGTATGGTTGCATTTTCCAGTGTCTCTGTGTGGGCTCATGTGAGGGTTCTTTTAAGGACTAGGTTTTATGGCAGCCTTTAGAGAGAAGAAAGCTGCTGTTGTCCCCAGCACTTCCCAGAGATGGGGGAAGGAGAGTGCCATTAGAAGGGAAGGAAATGCATGAGCAGGTGTGTACTAATTGTATTATGGGTGGCCAGACGGGCAGAGTTCCAATCATCCTGCAAATCCCTGTGGAACCTCTGGGCCCCACCGGCGTGTCCCAGCCTCTTCTGTGCTCCCTTCTCACCATGAAAGCACTGGGCCATGGGAAGCAGTGGGCTTCCTACCTATCTTCCCTGGGAGGCCCGAGCAGTCCACAGAGCAGCAGCCATCCTGCTCTATATTGTGCAGTCTGAGGGGCATCCAGGGAGTGGGGGCCGTGTCAGGGCTCCCCCATCACCGGCTGCAGCAGAAGGATCCCAGCCACCCAGTTTTCCAGTCAGTCCCAGGCATCACGGGCCCCTGAGAGCATGGGCAGTCAGTGCCACTGATCAAGTATACCTGCTCCAGGCAGAAGGCTCACCAGAGTCCAACCAGAGAGAGCAGGTGAGCTCTCACTCGGTATACAGAGTGAAAGTAAGAGTGGCTCTCACTCTCGCAGGGTCCTCTGATGTGTCCACCTGTAGCTAGCTGAAGGATGTGTGCTTGCATGTTGTATGTTTTCAGAACAAAACATCTGCACGACAGCCACGGGCAGTTCATCAACATAGGAGATCTTGAATAATAATCAAGGATTAATTAAGTTTAAAGCGTATGTCACATTTTGTGCCAGTGTCAGAATCTGGGGGAAGAAGAACAATTTAAAAAGAATTAGGGTTTTTATTGGTAAATCCAAATTCATTCCTAAATCAAATGATGAAAATATTCGTTGTTGTTAATACTCTAACCCATTTAACCTATACCTGTCTCTTCACAACACTAGGAAGCCCTCCACTCAGGTTGAGAGAAAGAATAAGAATTTAAATAGGGAGTTAAAGCCTTAAATCGAAGAAACTCTATCCTTTGAGCTCCCAAATGAGCAGCATGGGATGAACACATAATACCATCTTCTGCAGAGAACTTTCCATTTAGATAAAGAAGGGGGTGGCCGGGCGCGGTGGCTCAAGCCTGTAATCCCAGCACTTTGGGAGGCCGAGACGGGCGGATCACAAGGTCAGGAGATCGAGACCATCCTGGCTAACATGGTGAAACCCCGTCTCTACTAAAAAAATACAAAAAACTAGCCGGGCGAGGTGGTGGACGCCTGTAGTCCCAGCTACTCAGGAGGCTGAGGCAGGAGAATGGCGTGAACCCGGGAGGCGGAGCTTGCAGTGAGCTGAGATCCGGCCACTGCACTCCAGCTTGGGTGACAGAGCGAGACTCCGTCTCAAAAAAAAAAAAAAAAAAAAGATAAAGAAGGGGGCTTTGATGTGTGGCATGGGCTTGGTGACTTCACAGTGAGCCCTCACCCCAACCCCCCATTTCCTGCCAAGAAGGATGTTTTATGTTTCTTTTCTTTCTTCCTTTTTTTTTTTTTTTTTTTTTTAAGAACTTGCTCTCTTCCTACACCCAGGGCTTTAGGAATCAGCCCGTTGCTTCTCTGTAGCAAGCATGAGGAGCCTCTGATGATCCCAGTCTTGGGTGACTCACTGTCTCTCTGTTGTGTCTCAAGGAAGGGAGGTGCAGCAGCGGCCTGGCAGTCAGTGGTGACATGCGGAGAGCCCACGGGTCCAGGCGTCCTGGTGGTATTTTGGAGGGGCCGAGTCTCTGGCTTTAGCACTTTGGAAACTTGTTGATCTTCCTTGGTCTTCTATGGCTATTCATTGCTTCTGGGGAATGGTGACTTGCGAATTTTTAGCAGCCTTTTCCTGTCCCCAAAACCCATTTGTGTAAGATGGGTTTGCTTCTGCTGATGCAACTATGTCTCTAAAATGTCCATCTCACACTCCCTATTGCAATTGAAGATCCAATATGTAAGAGGGTGGAGGAGGAAGTGAACATTTGTGACCTTTTGATTTGATATTCTGGCCATGTGTTTAAATGGGGGTATGCTTCTAATTTTAAATCTAGCCTTCCCTTGTTTGATTTCTTTTAAATGTTATCTCTCTTTCAACTGTGTTGTCTTATTTCCCCCTCTCCTCCTTCCCAAATAACCCCTCATGCCTGTTATTTGGGGTGTGCTTCCCAGGCTTTCTGTTATTTTTGTTTCTAGACCTTATTGCAGTAAGAGAGTCGTGATTGTTTGGTTGCCTTCTCTTCATAGCTTACTCCATTTTTGTTTTGCTTGTGGCAGTTTCTTACTTATTGGAGTTCCTGAGCCATTGTGTTCACTGATTAAGAAAGATTCATAAAGGCTATTTTTATGTGTTTTTTTTCCTTCCCTCCTGCTTTGCTTGGAGCTCCCTGTGGCTGAGGGTTTTCTCCTGTGGCCGTGGTGCTGGCTGTCATGCCAGGTGCCGTGGGAGCCTGCTTTGACACACAGACCCGAGTCAGACCTTAAAAATCAGGGCAAACCGTCTTGCCTTGTTCTTCTAATCACCGTCACTTTTGTATTCTGGATTTGTCCTGCCTGCCTTTAATTTGCGTCTCCAGCATTTTTTTTTGTTTGTTTCATCGGGTTCCTGGTTTTCTTTTAAGACATAGTCAACTGTGTGGACCTGTAGGTTTGGGGCAGCAACCAATTCCATTGTTTTCCTTTTTGTCAAATCCAAGAGAAAATATACCATTAGGAGCTAGAAGATTCTAGTTCACAGCCTTTTGAATCTTCATGGCCTTTGAATCCTCACGGCCTCTGATATCTGAATCAGTTTTCTCCCAGGAGGTCTCTGGGGGCTGAGCTGCTACAGGGGCAGAGGGTGGGGTGGGCTTGGGTGGGAGAATCATCCCGGCACTTCATCGTGCATGCTATTTGGGGCAGTATCTTTTTTCTTTTTTTTTTCTTTTTTTTTTTTTTTTTCCCCTAATGCTCGAGTTATGAATGAGGATGACCTCTGCAATCATGATGTCTCCCATAGACTCTGTTGCTTGTTCCTTTGCCAGCTTTCTCATGCATGGTCCTAACACTTCCATGATTTACTTTGCTCCAGACCCATAGTCTTCAGCCGCCTCAGCAATAACTTGTTTGAGCATTAAAAGGAAGTAAATTGGGAACAACTTGTTGCCATCTCATTTTCATTAGAAATCAGACATCTTAGAGATGTCAAGAAAGCAGCTGGCAACTAGAGGGTAGGGGGACCTGTACTCTCACCCTGCGGTGTGTCAGACCAGACCTGATCCTGGAGCTTAAGACCCTGGAGAGCCCTGATCTCTGTAACTCTTGCCACGTTGTTGCTGAGGCAGCTGAAGTCCCCATCTCCCACCGTAACAATCACAAATAGACAGTAGTGGAGCCAGCGTCCCCAAGCCCCTTTTTGTGTAAGCAGAAAGGGAGCTATGAGCCTTGCCCTGTTTCCAGGTGCCAAGTGCCTCTCCCTGCCTGTACCTCTGCCCTTCCTCTGAGCAGAGCTTTGGTACCTGTTGCCAATGCAAAGAAATGTAAAGCAGCAAAAGAAGATAGCAGGTTCTGACCTGAGGAGGGAAACCAAATTTATCCCACAAAGGCCCATTACCCCGCCCCCCTCGCCTCCCACCCCCAGACTGGATCCACTACTGGCCCAAGAATACTGATGAGAAACCTTGTCTGGATTGGGTCGGAAGCTGGAATTCGGTGCTGTGCAGACCAGTGCTCAAAATTGTGGTTATTTTTGAGGACTCGCCTTCAATCCAGAACATTTGAGTTTCACCTTCCTCGCCCAGATCCAGTTAACAAGGTAGCTCATCACTTCTTGCATCTGTTGAGTGACATGCTGGATTTTAATTTTTATTGTGGTTGTACTTGGATGCAAGGAATATGTTTTGTTCCTCCCAATTTAGCGCACCATCCTGGGAAGTGCATGTCTCAGACCAACTCCACCTTCACCTTCACCACCTGTCGCATTCTACATCCTTCAGATGAGCTCACTCGGGTCACACCAAGGTAAGGGACCCTGGCTCTGGGATGGGCAGGGGTGGGGTGAGGTCGGGGCACTCCCTTCCCTGCAAAGCTTAATATTGAGGAAAGCCAAGTAGAGAGGCTCATAAAAAAACCAACTCAAGCCAGTTTAAGCATCTCAGCATTTGCAGGCACTTGTTCTGGGTCCCATCTTTCCTTTCGTTGTTGTTTTTGTGTGTGTGTGTGTGTGTGTGTGTGTGTGTATGTGTGTGTGTGTGTGGTTCTTTTTTTTTTTCCCTTGCAGCAGAGTTTTGCTCTGTTGCCCAGGCTGGAGTGCCGTGGCATGATCTTGGCTCACTGCAACCTCCATCTCCTGGGTTCGAGCCCATCTTTCCTTTTGAATTGAGGCTATTATTTATTTGGATCCGGCTCAGATAAAGAGACCTGGACCTACCTTCAGTTGCCCTTTTAGTTGCCCATTTAGTTGGCTATGGAATGGATTCTTAGGCCCCTCCTTAACCAGCTGAAGTTGACACTACCACAGGCCCTGCGGCTAAAGTCTGTTGGATTTTTTGCCCCAAAGTTTGTCAATAGAACACAGAGTTCTTTTATTTATGGATGGAGTTACTGAGCCCTGTGGAACCCCTTGTGCCTCTGCAATAGGCCACAGGAACCATGCACTACGGCCGAACTGTAATGACCAAAATGAGAAGACTCCAAGACTAAGCCACATGCCCAGCATGGTCCTTTTCTCTCTGGAGCACCATCTGTGGGGAGGACTTGTCTGGTATGAGTTGGTCTGTTTGGCCTGATTTCAGGCCTTTCACTGGTGCCAGCAAAAGAGAAAATGCTCTCCCCTAACAGAGTGGAGCGACCCCCTCAGCCGTTTCCTCTGTGGTGCAAGCTGCTGGGTTGCTGGAAGATAAAGCCGAAGGGGCGGGAGCAGTCAGCCAGGGAGCACCTTAAACTATGAATAATTCTCCACAGGTCATGTGAGGAAGACGACGAAGCAGCCATATACCCCGTTGAGCTGAGAGGAGATATAGGGCAGAGAGTCTGAGCCCACGGGTGAGGCAGGGGGTGAGCACACCGCCAGCAGTGCCTGCCCTGGCAGGGCCCTGTGGAAGGAGCTGTGTGTGCACGCGTGGCCGCCACTAACCCGGGGACTTAGGCGTGGATGTGTCTCTGTGGTTGTGCCTGGCTAACTCGGCCTTGATGGTCGATGCCCCTAACCCATCTAAACACCCCCAGTCAAGCCGAGTGCCAGCACTAATAAAGGCCTAACCCTAAGTTCTCACCAGACGGGGATCATAAATATTAGCTTTGTCTTCTCCGTCTCCCTGCCCCTGGAGAACTTGGCTTCACCGTCCTGTGGCTTTATGTTGGGAAGGGATTGTTTTCAAAACCATGGAACCAAGCTTCCCACTATGAGAGGCTGGTGCCCTGGATAACTAGATGGCACTCCTGACTGTAGCCATAGGACTTAAACCACACGTGGGTCTTCATGTGGCTGTGTCAGGGCTGAACGAAGCCTGGGAAGAAAGTAGCAAGAAAAGGCTTTTTCTTTTTTTTTCTTTTTTTGCCTAAGTTTGAAAGAAAGGCTGCTTGAAATAGAATGGAAACAAATCAACTGAAACAAACAAAATGGAAACAAAGTCTCCCTAGGGATGGCCATATCAACATGATTATAAGTTTAGAGCTTTTTTGCCCTTTATTGAAGGTACATCAACATTTGTAAAACTTCACACATGCCTTTTGAAAAAATCCACGTTTAACCTTAGGAATCTGTTGTGGTTTCTAATCATGCTTTTCTGTGTCCCCCAGCCCACCAGCATCCCCACCCTTGAGCTTGTGTGAGATGGGCCTGTTCTAGTATCCCCACCCTGTGCTGACCTCCAAGGGCTGAGGTCACCTGAGTGTGGAGCCAGATGGTGCCCCTAGTTTGTACGTTGCTTTGAACCTCATGTTCCCCATGAGGGAGGGGGCCCCTTCTCTGGTCTTTCCAAAGACCTGCTCCAGAATGGGCCCTTTTCTTTCCCATTCCCTCCTTTGGTGCCTTTCCCAGAGTACATGGACTTCCTTCTGCCAGACTGGGGAGAGAAGCCTCCATCCCCACCTCCTGGGGACCATGCAGCTGACCTGCTCCAAACCACACTGGCAGCCCCAGCAAAATCCTGGAGCTGACACCAGGGCACGTCCCATGAGACTGTTAGGAGGGCTGTGCATCTTTGCTCCTTGGTTGCTCGTTGAGAAGCAGTATAGGGTTTCCATGCCTGTTTGGCCTCCCCCGGATCCCTGTAGCAGCTGTTAAAAGAGAACCTTTCCAAGCTTTGCACAGTGACAGTGTCATAGCCAATGAGGTTTATTACTAGTTGAAAAATTTCCCCAATACCCTGCCGTGATGACTTGAAATATAGGCAGCATTGGCAATTTTTGACAGTCTCTAGGGATACTGAATTATTAGGTTGGTGCAAAAGTAATTACAATTATAAAAAAAAAAAAAAGAACCTTTCCTGCTTTTTAAGCAGACAACAATGCATTTCCCTCCGCTGCCCTTCTGGAAGCTTTTCTGCCCTAATGGACTCCATGACTGGATCCCAACTGCTGGAACCTAGTGAGTCCCTAGTGAGCACAACACAAGCGAATAAACAAATCTTTCTCCTTTCCTTGGGTAACTCAGGCTCCACACATTTCAGTGGACCTTTCCCTGGGTAGTGCCGTTGATGTAGATCTCTTCATATGAGACATGTCTCCCCCTGACCCTCTAACTCCACTGGTTAGAATGGATTTGGGCAAGGATATAAGAAGGGTTAAGGGCAGCACGGTGCAGAGGAAAGGGCTCTGCACCGGGGATTCAGGAGCTCACGGCCACAACTGACTGGATGGGCACAGCCTGGCCTCAGTCCACACGCTGTGGCCATCCTTTCCCTTCCTAAGATAAGGAATATCTCATCTCCCAGAGTCCTGGTTCACGTCTTGCTTCAGGGAGAAGTAGGTACTAGGAAGGAACACTGGAATCTGGGTAAATTTGATGGGGAAAGAATGCCTTTTTGCCAAAGGGCTTCCTTTCCTGTTCTCTAACAGATTTAGAGTCCCTCAACTTGGGTTGTCCACTTAACAGCCAGATGTGACACCAAGTAAACCCCTAACTCTGAGCCTGTTTCTTCATCTGCAAAGGGGACAACTGTACCCACCAACCAGGGATGGGCAAAGGGGATCATGTGCAGCTTCCTGTTAACTTAAACCATGCTTCTCTTGAAGGGTGAGAGGGAGGAGCAGACGTGGACAGAGCCTTTGGGGGCCTCAGCTGGGGAACCCTCTCATCGTGTCCTGGGTCGTCCCTATACCCCCTGCAGGAGACTGGCCACTGACCCTTTTTCTATGGAGCTCGTGGGTATTTCTGGTGAATAACCTGTCATCTCTTCTTTCAGCCTTAACTCAGCCCCAACTCCAGCTTGTGGCAGCTCCAGCCACTTGAAATCCACGCCAGTGGCCACACCATGCACTCCACGGAGACTGAGCCTGGCTGAGTCCTTCACTAACACCCGTGAGTCCACGACCACCATGAGCACATCCCTAGGGCTCGTGTGGCTGTTGAAGGAGCGGGGCATTTCTGCGGCTGTGTACGACCCCCAGAGCTGGGACAGGGCCGGCCGGGGCTCTCTCCTGCACTCCTACACACCCAAGATGGCTGTGATCCCCTCTACTCCGCCGAACTCGCCTATGCAGACACCCACATCCTCCCCACCCTCCTTTGAGTTCAAGTGCACGAGCCCTCCCTACGACAACTTCCTGGCTTCCAAGCCGGCCAGCTCCATCCTGAGGGAAGTGAGAGAAAAGAACGTCCGCAGCAGTGAGAGCCAGACCGACGTGTCCGTCTCCAACCTCAACCTCGTGGACAAAGTCAGGAGGTTTGGGGTGGCCAAAGTGGTGAACTCAGGGCGAGCCCATGTCCCCACCTTGACTGAGGAGCAGGGACCTCTCCTCTGTGGGCCCCCGGGGCCAGCACCAGCCCTTGTCCCCAGAGGCCTGGTACCTGAGGGCCTGCCCCTCGGATGCCCCACTGTCACCAGTGCCATCGGTGGGCTGCAGCTGAATAGTGGCATCCGGCGGAATCGCAGCTTCCCCACCATGGTGGGATCTAGCATGCAGATGAAAGCCCCCGTGACTCTCACCTCGGGCATCTTGATGGGTGCTAAGCTCTCCAAACAAACTAGCTTACGGTGAGGACTGGAGGGGGCCGGTTGCCCTGGAGGAGACCCATGTTCTTCTCTCTTGCTCCCATCTCCCTCTCTTCCCCCTACAGTGCACTTCCTTCCTCTGCCCTTCTCCGTCCACCCCCTCCTGAGCTAGACAAATCAACCTCGTGCCTAATGGAGGAAGAGTGGAACCTTTGTAAAATGTGTACATAGGACTTGGAGACCTCGTGTCCGCCCTGCTCTTTCTTCCGATCCCACAGGAAGTGCCCCTGCACTGTCATCACTCTCACGAGGACGTCACCTGTGCTAACCTGGGGGAAGGTGGGGTCCTTTCTTCTTTCCTTTTGAGAAGCACTGAAACTCCCAAGTGTGTTCTTATCCCATGGATAGGAAACCAGTGAATTCCGTGGCTGGCACACCACGAGCTGTCAACGCGGCACGGGTCATAACATATCTGGGTGTCATCGGACACCTTGCCTCACCCACCCTGTAGGAGCGTAAGGAGCCTCCATCCTCAGCCACGTGTCGCTGACGTGGCTTTCCTGATCGGAGGGCTTTTCTTTCTTTTATGGGTGGCCCAGCTTCTTCAAGACCTTCACTACTCTGCCTCAGTGGACAGTCGTTTCCTTTCTGAGGTGTGACCTTTTGTTTTCATGCCTTCCCCTTGAAGTCATCCTGTGTTTTGTAATCAGCTGTCAGGCCAAATGTCTGACCCGAAAGAGAATGTATTTACACTTGTGCTGCGTTCAGCAGCCCCTCTGTGTTCTGTGTGATTTGTTTTACTTTTCCTTTTTTTAAAAAAATATATATGCAGGGAAGTAATGGTACTGGTAGTGTATGTTTTCTATGTGGTTCAAATATGAATTTCAAACACACCAAGCTGCTAATGAGATAGCAGCTTTTTTCTGGGACCCAGAGTCACAACCAAATTGATTTAAGACCAGACCCAAGACACCTTTAACAATAAGACTGAAAGGAAAAAGGATAGGGAAAAAGCTTATTTAAAGAAATGTGTCAGCACCAAATGTAGAGGGGAAGAACCACAACCAGGCATAATACCAAACTGGTTCCGGGGGAAGCAAGGCTTTGGCATTCCACTGGCTCCAGCGCTTCCTCCAAAACCCAAGACTGGCCAGGGTGCTGTCACCGTGCAGTCTTTGATTGCAGCCATTCAGTGCCCATGTTTTGCCTTCTTGTTTCGGAAGAGCACGTGGTCACAACAAAGTATTTTCTTTCCCTCCAAAGCCTTTTGTCTCCTTGTGCCACTTTTTATCCTTAGGAAAAGATCCAGGTGCTTGTGAAAAGAACCATGAATGCAACAAGGGAGGCTGGTCCTGTTGCTGTCGCCGATGAAATTTTTAACTTTTATTTATTATTTATGTCTGCCGTATTTTAAATAAACATTCTCGTTCCTTCCAGTTCCAGTCATAGTGTGTCTGTGGCATTCCAGTCCAACCACGTAACTTATTTATTCTAATTTGAGGGCTGCACTGTACATCATGGTGTCCCGTGACACTGTGTTCCAGACATTTATGGAAGGAAAACATCCCACGTAAATGAAACTGTCGTTCTGTGTCCTCCCTCGCAGCAGCAGATGTGAACTTCCATTGAGTGAGGGTGACCTTATGTCCAGCAGGGATACTTTGAGAAAGCCCCTAAGGAGCAAGCCTCAGTCCCACGGTTTCAGACTATTTATTCTCTGAACACAAGAGTATTGGTTAATTACGTTCTCAGCTCTCCTTGCTGTTACATGTGTGCACTCACTGCAAGTAACTTATATCTTTTTATTTGAATGTATTTTAAAGCGGTAGATAGAATAACAAAGGAATATGAAAACCATGGACTGAATGGACCATTTTATGTATTCAGAGAGAGGAGCCACTCATCATTGCCAGATATACCATGTAAAAATTGGCAGTTCAGAGGTTGCAATATTTAGTAGAGTAAATAAATAAACGATCAACATTGTGCAACCACTACCAAAAAGTGTGTTGTAATGCATCAAAAATCAACAAAATTTTATTCACTAATGAGTATCAATAAAATAAGTTCAAATGATGGAAACCACACCGGTATTCTGATTTGTATTTTGTTTTTATCTTTTCATCAAGGAGACGATCTCTTTATGTAAGACTTGAAAGTGTTTAGCTCTTTGCAAAATTAAATGAAAGGCATATACTTCACATACTGTTATATGCCTTCTTTCTTTCAACATTATATCATACGTTAAGACAACTTTCCAATCAGACTCTGAAGATGTCCCTCACTTTTCAGGGCTGTGTACTATTCCAGTGTGTGCATACACCTGCTATGAATATATACATGCCTTTATGAACCATCCCTTACAGATGGTCACTGGGATAATTCTTTTTTCTTTCCTTTTCTTTATCTTTTTTTTTTTTTGAGACAGGATCTCACTCCACTGCCCAGGCTGCAGTGCAGTGGTACAAACATGGCTTACTGCAGCCTTGACCTCCTGGGCTCAAGTAATCCTCCTGTCTCAGCCTCCCAAGTAGCTGGGATCACAGGTGTGTGCCACCATGCACAGCTAATTTTTATTTATTTTCTATTTTTTGTAGCGATGGGGGTCTCACCATGTTGCCCACGCTATTCTTGAAGTCCTGGGCTCAAGTGGTCCTCCTGCCTCAGCCTCCCAAAGCACCGAGATTATAGGTGTGAGCCACTGTGCCTGGTGTCACTGGGTTAATTCTTATCTTTTGCTATCAAGGTACTGTAATGTAAAAACCTTACATGTATGCAATTGTCCACATATGTGAATACATCTATGAAATAAATTCCTAGATGGTTATTGCCAAATTGCCTTTCATAGAGCTGTGTTAAGAGACAACCAAGGACAGTGGAGGTCCACCAGATGGAGAATTGTGAGAAGAACAAAAGAAAATAAATATTCTGCCACCTCAATATTTGAAAGCAGTGAGATTATGCAAACACACACTGTGGTGGGATGTGGCATCATGGATTTTAAGTCAGGTGCTAACCATTTGGCAGTGGTGTGACCTTGGGCAAGCCACTTACCATCTTTAGGTCCTCCATTTTTTCTTTTTTTTAACCTGTGACATGAGAACAGTAATGCACCTTAGAGTTAACTGTTGAGTAAATGTATTTTGAGCACCTACCATGTGCCAGGCATTGTAGGTACTGGGGACGAGCAAGTGAGCCAGTTTCTGCTGTCACGGAGTGTACAATCTAGAGAGAACACCACCAAGTGTAGAATAACAAGGGCTGTGCAGAGAATTAAAATAGGGTGGTGTGAAGGAGTGAGTGGCTGCTTTGGATTGGACAGTAAGAGAAAGCCACTCCAGGGAGGGGCACTTGAGTGAAGCATGTGAGATCTGGCACAAGAGCATTTCGGCAGAGAGAGCAGCTAGTGTAAAAGCCCAGAGGCAGAAGAGCACTTCGGTGCATTCGAAGAACTAAGAGACGGCCTGTGTGGTAGTGGGCTGGTAGGATCAAGGGAGTGCGGTGGTAGCAGAAATGATGGTGCTCACCAAATGATTCGTCTGATCCCCATTTCCCAGCCATTGCTGTTGGGCAGGTCACGTGATTAGTGGCTGGCCAGTGGGCAATAAGCAGAGAAAAATCAGTGCATGACTTTGTGCACCTCTCTTCCTGTGTGTTAAACCCTCAGGTCACGTATTGAAGTGCTGGAGTCTCCATCATCCTGAGTCCCCAAATATGTGGACCAGAGCTTCCTGCCAACATATTTGACATGTAACCTGATGGAGAAATAAACTTTGTTGTTAAGCCAGTAAGATTTTTTGATAGTGCATTAGAACCCCGGGTGTAGGACCTAGGTATCTGTGTTTTAACAAGCCCTCAAGATGATTCTGGTGTGCACCAAAGTTTGAGACCCACTGCACTAGACCAGGTGAGTTTGGGTGGGAGTTCTGCTGTGGGAGGCAAATTCTCCTTTCCAGTCTCTCTTTGTCTCAGGGCTCTAAGAAGGCCAGATAGCCACAGCCCATCTTACTTGAAGGGAAGGGAGAGAGAGAGAGTGGGTGGGCTTAACTGCCCAGCAGGGGCAGGGAAAGCTTTGAGGTAAGGTGACCCTGTATCTGGGTTTCCAGGATTTGCCAAGTGGGGGAGGCATTCCAAGCAGAGGAAGGATGGAAAGGGGATCCTAGAATGCATTCCTCTATGCCCTTGCTTACAGTAGAAGGAAGGTGAATGACAAATACAGAAGGGACAATAGAACTAGAAAAACAACCATTTGGCCGGGTGCAGTGGCTCATGCTGGTAATCCCAGCACTTTGGGAGGCCAAGATGGGTGGATCACCTGAGGTTGGGAGTTCGAGACCAGCCTGACCAACATGGAGAAACCCTGTCTCTATTAAAAATACAAAATTAGCCGGGCATGGTGGTGCATGCCTGTAATCCCAGGTACACAGGAGGCTGAGGCAGGAGAATCGCTTGAACCTGGGAGACAGACGTTGCGATGAGCTGAGATCGTGCCATTGCACTCCAGAACAAGAGCAAAACTCCGTCTCAAAAAACGAAAAAACAACCATTTTGAAACCACAATACTAACTAATTCAGACAACAATGGATGTTAAAACCATTGGGTAAAAATTCCTTAGGCAGCAGAATATTTATACCCATTGTATCTTCCCAAAAAATGCTTATTAATTTACAAAGGAGGGAAGATATATTTGCAGTGGATAACTCTGTGGTGCACCACTTTAAACAAGTCGTAAAATGTAATGTTGCCCAAAATGGGACAAACTACTATAAGACATCACCTGTTATGAGATGTACTGGGAGGGACACGCATCCTGCTGTGCTGTTCCTGCCACAAACGCAAAACCTGAACCATGTGGTTGACAAATTGAGGGACATTTATCATTTTGTAAAACAATGTACCTATCCCTTTAAATATTGTCAGTATCATGGCAAAGACTGAGGAACTGTTCCAGATTAAAGGAGGATGAAGAGACAAGGCAACAAATGTAATTCATGATCTGAATGGGATACTGGAGTGGGAAAAAATGCTATAAAAGACAGTGTTGGGACAATCAGAAATTTGAATATAGAGCACGTATTTTTTAAATTGTATCAATATGAAATTTACTGAGTTTGATAATTGCACTGTGGATATGTAAGGGCATGTCCTATTTCCTAGGAGCTAAAGGATTAAGATAAAGGGGCTTGGTGTCTGCAAGTCACTTTGAAGTGTTTTCAGAAAAAGTAAAGAATAAACTTAAAAAATAATAAAAAGGTGTAGGAGCAAAAAGAGTTCATTTCAAACGGCAGGAAGCCTTCTACTGATAGATGTTTTGTAAACCCTAGAAGGCATTCTTCTGTCTCATGTGTGATGGGAGGATGTTCAAGGTGGTTTGGTGCATCTTCCCTGTTCTATGCCAAATTTCTTCATGTGTACCCCAAGCCGTTCTCCCAGCCCAGGAAGTTCAAAAGAGGACGTCATGGCCTAAGGGAGAAGTTGTCAAAGAGGCATTTGGTGAGACCAGAAAACAAAGATAGTAAAATTCCTGGTTTTCAAATATGAGGAAGGACGAAGCTGAGTATGTGTTTTGGTGTGAGACCAAAAGATTTAGAAGGAAACTTGTGGAGCCAGTTTTTCTCTCTCGCTTAAAAAAAAAACATATTTTAAAATTTTTAAAGCATCAAGTTGGTGAAATAGTTTCTCTTTTTACTGCTTACTCCTCCTCTGCTACTCCTGCTTGCCAAACACAAAGGACAAGGACTTCATGCAGATTCTCCAGGCCATGGGTGTTGGAGAGGGATGACAGCGTTCAACCGGCGTGGAAGCCTTTCTCCTTTCCGTCTGGGCCACATCCAAGGTTATAGGAGAAGCCCTTGATGAGTTTGGGACTCCAAGGGCAGATGAGCTCATTTGGCAGGGGTCCTGGGGAAGTAAGGATGTTCCAGAGCCCCTACCCAGCAACTCGCCCTATCACAGGGCAGGGACCACATGGGGCAGTGAGGAAGTACAAGTGCCAGCAGATGCGTCTCAGTGGAGAAGTCCCAGGAGATCCTGAAGTACCTGGCCTCAGACAGATGTGGGAATCATTCCACACGTTGTCTGGGAGCAGAGAGGCAGGTACGTCCTGAAGAGCCTTGCCAACAGGACAAAGGAAGTGGACACCAGCCTCCCCCGCAGCTCTAGCCAGGGCCAGCACCCAGAACCTAGATGCCACCTGGGGAGAAGTTGGTGGAGGAGGAAAGTCATGCTGAATTGCCTGAGTCGATTGAGAGCTTATAATAGGGATTAAGTCGAGATTTAGAAAAAAAATGAAATTTTTTGTACATCTGAGCTCATGGCTCGGAGACATCATATCCTAAAAGGATTTCTTCTTCTGTAGCCAGCAGAGGGCGCTTGGAGACTGCAAAAGACGCTTGGAGACTGCAAAAGACTTGCCCTAATCCAATCACAAGATCAGATAGGTTTGCTTTTCCCCCGGAAAGTAGTTCAGGGCGGGCAACTCTGCCTCCTGGAGCTCCCAACACCCTCACTGTAAATAGAGTGCTTGTTTCTGCGGGTGCAAGTTGAGAGGAAATGACCAGGAAGAAGGCCTGGCCCCTCACATTCCAGAGCCCCTCCCTGGGGCCAGGAGTCTGGCATCCCGTCTGGAGCTTCAGTGGATTCTCGGTGCTGCTGTGGTTGGCAGGGGGGTGGGGGGCGGGTAGGGGTGCCATGCCAGATCCCCAAGGACTCCTACGGTGGACGAGTCTTCCCTCCTGAGCCTGGGTTCCTCCGTTCCACTCTTCCTCTCAAGATGTCCCGAGTCCTCGCTCAGTCCGACTCAGTTCCATGCTGCTCTGTGGATCCACAGAGGAACGGACACAGCCCCAGCCCTTGAGAGGGGCTGCCTCTGCGCGGGCAGCAGAAGTGGTCATGACAGTGGAGGGAGTCCCTGTGCTTGGGGGCTCAGGAACCACTTGAGGGAAGGCATGAGCATGGTCTCAGTTCTCCAGGGGAACTGGAGGGAGGCATTCCAGAACAAGAGGACAGCATGTGCACAGGCTTGGGGGGCAAGTGAAGAAATTAATCATAGAATGAGGAGGAAGCCCCCTTGCCTATCATGCTG